CATATCTCACAGCCGCCAACATCCACGACCACCTCAAAGCCACGGTTCCACCCATCCTCCGCACACGCTACAAGTGGGGATTCCGCAAGGTTTTCAACATTCCCTACGGAGTGGTTCACCTCAAGGAGAAAAAGCACTGGCAAAAGGGCCGCACCATTATTTCCTACTTCCGTTCACTCACAGGCAACCTCCTACGTATTACCAGCCGTGCCCTCGACATTATACTTCAACACCTTTACCCACAACATCCAGGGCAGCTCTCCATCCCACAACTATGGCACCACTTCCACAGCTACCTCACTCAAACACCGGCAGACATCTCCCTCCACGCTACCAACGACGACCTGGTGGGCTTCTTCAACTCGGTCCCCCAACACCGACTGATCGATGCAGTCCACTCCATGATACAGCACTGGCAACAACAACAATCCACCCACACTCTCACTGTGGATGTTCAAGCCACCGGCGATCCCTTCCACCACTCCCACATCGGCAGACACCACCAAAAACACCCCACACAACGCACCATCCAGACCTCCGACATCACCACTATCGTCGCTTATGCACTCAACACCTGCATTTTCCGGGCTTGCAATAACACTTACAAACAAATCCGAGGAGCTGGGATTGGCTCCCAACTCTCTCCAGCCCTCTGCAATGTCGCCATCACCCTCATTGAACACTCCTGGCACCGGGTCCACAACAACCTCCTGCAACACACAGACTTGCACGTTGCTTACTACCGTTACGTTGACAACCGCTTCATTGTCCACAATGAGCACTTCCTCCACCACCCAGCCATTCAAACCCTTGTCCACCACAATTTCTTCGGGGACCCAGTGGAACTGGAACCTGTCCATGACTTTCACCTGGGGTTCAACATTGACCTCCAACAACGCACCATCACCTACATACAACCTTATCCCAACCCTGGAAAATCAGGAATGCCACCACAGCCGGGAGCCGGCGCTTGGCTCTGTCAGGCCTTCAATCCAGACTCCACACTATCCACAAATACACCTTTCCACCCTCCAGCGCTGAAGTTGCTGCCGCCGAGCTAGTGAGGCTCTATGTCCAAAAAGGACACAACCACCAAGCCTGCCACCGGTCTTTGAAAAAGCGCCGACGACGGCGACCTGTGTGTGTCGCCCCCTGGTCAAAGGGTTACCTTTCATGACATCCACTGCCACCTGTTTCACCAGCAGCAGGGGGACCATCTCGCTGCTGACCTGGTCTAACAAAGCTAGGCAGCGAGATGGGAAGCACCAAAGGACGCTTTGGTGTGTACCTGCCACACAACTTTTGCACAAGCTGTCCACCCTACTCTTCCACGATTTGATTCATGGTTCTTCATGTATTCCACCCCACAAACAGGTTTCAGCCGCTTGTGAACTGCAGCCAGCCGCGCGAGTGAAACATTTTTCAACAATTCAAGTCACCGGACTCTTTCGCCTTGCCGTTCCACCACTTTCCTTCTCAACGTGGGAATCGAGATAACTGAATACAATTGTCAGAGTGTGTCACCCCCTGTATCTAAGGGTTCCACCTTTGTAACTAAGAGTTTGAATGCAGGGGGACCAGGCATCTCGCTGCTGACCTGGTCTAACAAAGCTAGGCAGCGAGATGGGAAGCACCAAAAGACGCTTTGGTGTGTACCTGCCCAACTTTTGCAAAAGCTGTCCAATCCGCCTTGTTTGATTCATGGTGGTTGCATGTTTCCTCCCATAAA